AGAGGGAAATTCAGGGCTGCTTCCATTAAAAGGACACACTTGTGTCAAGCGAGTCTGAGAACCAGGTGTGAAAAATGACAGGCATGAGTATTCAACACCAAGGGAAAAAAATACTTCAAATTTGAACTGCTGTAAAATTTCAGAATACCAGGAAGAGAACAGTTAATCCTAAGATGCGAAAAAGAGGCCACATGAAACATTCTTCCTATCTTCACTCAGAATGGTATATGGAGAAAGAGGGCTAGGGCCCCACAAGGAAGACTAAGGCCATAGCCTCCTAAAATTGTAACCACTTGAGATTTTGAACATCTAAATAATGTTGAGCATTTAAAAAATATATCCATGGAGTAGCCAGCAATGGTGAGTAATAGTTTACTCAAAGCAAGAAGATGGAAAATGGACATTTGAAATGCCTTTCCCCGCCAAAGATTCCTGAGTCAGATCTAAAGTTCTGCAGGTGTCTGAGCATCAAGAGGAGAGGGAAGCCTTGAACAGAATTTGTAGGGAGCAACACTTTTGTAACCACAGAATTTTCCTGCTTTATACTCTTATTCCTCCTTTACCCTCACACCCCAACAAGATAATCAGGGCTGGTTCCATTAAGAATACACACCTGTATCAATACCTCCAGGAAATTATTTTAGGAGCTCAACCTAAGACCATCAGGGCGGAGAGAAAGTGCTTTCTCAGAGGTAAGGTCTATCAGTAGGCCAGTCCTGCACACAGCATGGGCATTCTGGGACTGAACCTCAGTCCTTCACCCCCTCCCCCGCCCAAGGAACCCCATGCCACAGATAGCTGAACTCCTGCCACTTAAGAGCCATGGGTGTGGGTGTCTAGGGGAGAAGATCTAGTTGACCCGGGCCCATGATAAACACTGCCCATGTAATCGACATTCACTGAGAACTGAATACATATAAATTGGAGCAGTCACCTCCTCTAGGGCAGATGTATAATAAGACAACTAACCAGGACCACTCCAAATATGCAAAAAGATAGGACCCTTTTTAGAAATGTAGGAACAAGAATATCAGGCAGATAAAGTTAAAGACCAAGTTTGTGTCTATCAAGGGCTCAGATGGTGGGCATTACCCCACCCACCCCAAAAGACCTGTATACAGAAGTCAAAACAACATAGTTTGCAAAAGACTCTTTAGAGCATCAGAGCACACACCCTGGGTTAGATTCTGTCAATATGAGGTGGTAAAGAGGGAAGAGATATGGGAACATATGTATATGTATAACTAATTCACTTTGTTATAAAGCAGAAACTAACACACCATTGTAAAGCAATTATACCCCAATAAAGATGTTAAAAAAAAAATGAGGTGGTAAAAAAAAAAATCTCAGTCCTTTTGTCTTAACCATGGAAGTTTCAGGTGAAAGAGAGAATGGCCTCATTAAAAATAATGGGAGGTGAAGGAGAAGGTGGAAGTTTAGAGGACAGATTCCAATCTTTCCTTTCCAAATAGCACACATGATTGCAATGCCATTTAATTCCAGCAAGAAAACAAGGCAATGAACCTCCACTCACTGCCTGGACAGCAGGAAGCCCCTCCTAGATGGGGCTGTTTCTCTTCCTAACACTGTGATGCATTCAATTCCAGCTTGCAAATGATGTCTGAAAACCATCATCTTGGGGTACAGGGTAATGAGTGGGTGCTGTGGAGGCACGAGCACAGACTATAGTATGTTCCCCTGATTTGGAGGTGATAACACCCTAACTCCACCTCTAGGACCATCTTCTCCCGTCAAACGTGGCTCAGGGTCATGTATAGGAAGCAGTTCTTTGCTGGGATGGACTAGCCCAATGGACATCTTTTAGAAAATGCTCCAGCAAGAATGCGCAAGGGACACTCTTCTGCTTTAGCTCTGCCAACCCTGGAAGGGTTCAATCTTAGCCTCAGTCAATAACAAGGATAATGGAGGACAAGGTGATTCCACATCCATTAAAGAGCATGACCTGAAGGTCAGTCATCACTTCCATTTACATCCAAGGTCCAGTACATAGCTAAGTGACAACAGCTAACTGAAATGAGACATGGAAATCATCTTTGTTCAGACTGAGTCTCGAGGAACTCAGGTGGGCCTGTCAGATAAGCTATAGGAAGAATACAAGCTCCTTCTCTATGGCCCCTCCTCAGGACAGTGACCTGTAAGGTCTGCTCTTGGATCAGGCAGCATAGGTCAGGTTACCTCCCAAGTACAAACCCAACTGGCAACAAAGCACACAATGGCCGTCCCATCTTCCAGTCATGCCCAATTTTTAAAGGTTTCATTCAAAAGATACTCTAAGATTTAGGGGGAGGGGTGTAAGCCCCACACACTCCTCAATGGGGGAGAGGAGTGCTTGAGGGAAGAAGAGAACAGGTGTCCTCACCAGTCCTACTTCTCCCCAAAAGCCAGTTTCCTTCTTCTAAACTATGGCATTTTCATGCAAGTTAGTTTGGGGGCGGGCAAGATAGCTATGGACAAGGGAGAATTGCAGGAACAACTTTCAGCAAGTATCTGAACAGCACACCATTCCTCAAATTCTATACCGTGGAAGCTCCTAAGAAGACAGAAGAAATATCACCACGGTCCCTGCACACAACCAAAAAAGGCAACCCTACAAACACCCGATTTTATCCAGCTAACATCCATTTCAGACTTCTGATCTCCAAAACTGTTAAATAGAACTGGTTTTGATTTAAGCCAAAACTTGGTCATTTGTTACAGGAGCAATTAGGAATTAATATAGTACTGTTTGAAATTCTTACTTCAGTTTTTGTATTCAGGGAAATGCAGTGCTAACTCACTGGGATTTACTTTATATTTCAAATAATAGGACTTATAACTATTCTTTCCTTGGCAGCACTGATCAAACGACAATAGCTATAAAAATAGCAATTTATCCTTCCTTTGGTACTGAAAAGATTATGAACAATGTTCATTTAATTTAAACTCCTAATGTAGAAGCAGAAATGCCTTTGAAGACTTCGATTATTAAAGCTTATCCAAGAAAAAGTAAATATGGAATATCCAGATCTCCTATGAAAAAATTAAGTATACATTTAAAACCTTCCCACGAAGTATTCTCTGGGCCCAGATAACTCACTTCCTGTATTCTCCATGAGATCAGACAGAAATACACCAATCACGTGAAAATTACACCAGGTAAAAGAAAAAAGTCAATTTCTCCAAATAGCACTCTTCCCTGACAAGCAAGTGGGTTGATGAATATGCTGGTCCCATTCTCAACTTCTCTAGCAAGTTGTTTCTGAAAACCAGCTTTGCACCTTCTCTACCTTCCCTTTGGAGAGTCATCCTAAGACCCTCTGGTTATCTCAAAGAAACACCACCAAACAAAACCTATGTGGACTGAAATGAAGAAAAAAAAAAACCTCTCCCTTCACAGGGGGCTCCACATGCAGGGTGGAAGTACATATTTTCAGGCTTTTGGGTTCAGGATTTCCTCCATGGTCTTGACATGCGATTTGAAAACCTATGAACCTACATTCTCTGTCAGAGTCACTACAACCAATGGGAAAGAAATGCACAGGTGAAAGAGTCTATCATCTGACGGTTCCACCACTTTAAGATGCTGAACTTAGAGCATTAGTCTTCATCACACTGCCGTGGGGTCCTCCTTCCAATGTTTATCATCTTGTTACTAACAGTCCAGGTACGTCAGCCTTGGGGGCAAGACTGGATAAGCCCAGGCTCCCAGTACACACTGCCAATGTAATTAGCATGGACTTGTCCAGGAAGAAATTAAAACTAAACTCTCTTTTTCAGCGTCCAGAAAGTAAGACCCTTGCCTGGTCAATCTCAAGTACTCTGGAAGGGAAGAACCCTATTTCTGAGACATACAGAAGAAGAGAATCAGGCAGAAAAGTTGAAGATGTCCTAGGCTGTGACATGGGAGGATTGGCAGGATGAGGGTCAAACAAAACCTTCATAGACCCCTGTGGGAATGTCAAAGCCTTAGCAGCCTTCACCTTGGTCCATCAGCACAGTGTCTAAACCACTGTGACACTGGGTTAGACACTGTAGAGAAGGCGGCAGGACAAGAATTTCAAACACACCTCACCCCTGTTTCTGATTCAATCCTGGAGTTTCAAAAGAAAAGGCAGCGCTTCTCAGGCCAGGCTTGATTAGAATTCATGGTACTAAATGTAATTCCCAGAGTTGGAGTTTAAGTACTTCCCTCCACCAAAAAAAAGTAAAAAAAAGAAATTCTACCAATAAAATTTATACAATTAAAAAAAAACCCAGATGGATCATATTTAAGAGAGAAGTAGACATTTCTTAGAAACTCAAGTTCTGAAAAGGGTCATTTGCCAAATTTAAGGGTAATAGAACAGTTAGATAGTACTGTGCCCTAAGTGATAGGAATATAACAAATTGTGTACCATTAGAAATGCAGTAATTGATATATTAAAATACAGGAATGGAAACAGGAATGGAAACCTAAAATCTCAGTATCCACTTCATTGTGATACAGGAAAGAGATATTGTAGATGTTTGTCATGGAATGTTTCTTAGAAAATTCATTATATCCAAGCCAGATTGAATTTTAGATAAAACAAGAACACAGTGTTATGTCATGGATGGAAAAGAATATTTATAAAGACAAACAAAACCACTTACAGGATCCAATGAAAGTAAATGAATCTCCAGTAATCAGAATTCTGAGGTATTTGATTCTGGCAGACATCACTGAGAGGCAATGATGGGACAAGGCATAAATGAGATTAGAGGTCTATAAAGAATCTCTTCTCAGGAGAGGGAAAAAGACACCATAATAAGAGTATGAATGTCAGAGACATGAGCTATGGAATCAGAATAGCCTTGCTTCATGTGGTTTGAGGTTTGGCATTCTTCTTGAGTGGTAAGCGTGGCAGAGACTGGTGACATCCTCTACACCACTTCTTTGAGCACAACACAGCAGTGAGATGATATTTTAGATGCAAGGAGACATTATATTTTGGAGATACACAAACAAAAATCTCTCCCACCTTTCCTGGCAAGCTGGGAGCTCTTTCTCCTGAATGTGGCTCTTCTTAGACCACCTTTGAGACACCATTTATTCCACGTGTGTGACCAGTGGCTGAAAGACAATATATCCTGGGTCACATGAGAAAAAGTGCTCTGTGGGGACCATACACACAATGATAGGTCCCTGATCTGGGTGTTAAGGACAACATCTTCAACCTCTGGCATCCTCTTCTCCCTTCAAATGTAGCTCAGGGTTATGAATGGGAGAACAGATCTTTGCTGGGATGTCTTAGTCAAATGGACATCTCTTAGAAAACCCATCAGCGAGAATGGTCACAGCACATTCCTATGCTTCTGCCATTCTTAGACAGAGTCACTTCTAGCCTAGTCAGTAAGGAGGACACCAGAAGGAGGAGAAAATACAATATTCTTTTAAAAGAATCTTGAAGATCAGAGAAGTTTGCTCAATCCCATGCCCAGACACTCTTTACATGACCCCAGCTAACTGAGGACAACAGGAACTTAAACTTCATACAAGTTGACTCATGAGGAATGTACATGATGACCCTCTAAGTTATAGAAGTAGTCCTGCTTTACTGTGACCCTCTATCTAGGACAGCTTGATGTACAGCTGTCTTCTCAATTAGGTAGCATAGGGAAGCTTAGAAAAAAGAGGCTCAACACAAACCCGCTGAGGATAAACCACCACTCCACTGTCATCTTTCCACTGAAACATACCTTTTTAAAAAGTTTCATTCTGGGACTTCCTTGGTGGTGCAGTGGTTAAGAATCCGCCTGCCAATGCAGGGAACACGGGTTCAATCCCTGGTCCGGGAAGATCCCACATGCTGTGGAACAACTAAGCCCATGCACCACAAGTACTGAGCCTGCGCTCTAGACCCCACGAGCCACAGCTACTGAGCCTGCATGTCACAACTACTGAGGTCCGCACACCTAAAGCCCGTGCTCCACAGCAGGAGAAGCCACCGCAGTGAGGAGCCTGCTCACTGCAAAGAAGAGTAGCTCCAGCTCGCTGCAACTAGAGAAAGCCTGCACCCAGCAACAAAGACCCAACGCAGCCAAAAATAAAATAAATAAATTTATATAAAAAAATATGTACTATGTGAATACAATTTTAAAAAATAAATAAAAAGTTTCACTCTAAGCTAGTCTGCTAGGATTTGGGGGTAAGGAATATATCTCTATCTTCCAGTTTGGTGGAAGATTGCTCTGGAAACATAAAATAGGAAGTACTTCTCTTCGATACTGTCTTCTAAAGATACAATTTACTCTCCAACTCAACATTACTTTCCCTCAAATTTGGACGTGGTGGGGGTGGGCAGTGATCATCATAAGGTATCTTATTCAGTAAAGAATCCTAGAAAGAATTCAGCTCTTCATGGTAAACAACCTAGACTACACACATAAAATTCTCCATATTTTATTTATGGGGATTCTTGTGGGACAGAGGGAACAATGTCAAGGTCATACCTATAATAGAACAGCCACATCAAAATGGAAGGGTAAAATGTATGGTTTAGCATTGGTGCTAAACTCTTGCTTTATGAATGGTTGAAGTCAGCATGACGTCCTCCTTATTCTAGATGATGGGAAGAAATGGAAAAAACTCAAGTCCCATTGGAGATTAATGTTCTGAAATAGTTGTAATGGAAATTAACCACATCATGAGTAATTTTTCAAAATAGTGGATCTTCTCTAACTGATGACATATCCCAAAAAAAGAACAGGGTCTAAGTTCTGGAATTCCACATGTGAGCCCGTGAGATTATCCAGCATGAGTTGATGTCATCTTGTTTATCTAAGCCAAGGGGAAATTAACCCTCCATAGTGTTTCAAAATATAAAGTTGATCAGTCTTCTGTCTCAACCAGTAGAAATAAGGACCAAGGTCTTAAAGGCCAGAAGTCATTATATTACATCAGAGTAAACAGAATGTAGTTATGGACTCAGCTGCCTGAGAGACAGCAGGAAAATTAGATTTTTTCAGGTTGACTCTGGGAACTCATGGGCCCCTTCAAGACAAGTCATGGGAACACAGGATCCTCTCTGAAAACCCCTCCTCACATCAACTACCTACATATCCTTCATCTGGATCAGGCAGTACAGGGCAGGTTAGTTTAAAAGGACGCCTGAGCAGAAGTCCACCCAGGGAACAAAAAACCCACATAGTGGCCATCAGATGTACAGGGAAGGATACAGCCCCATTTTTCACTGTGTGGTTATTACACTCATCTAGAGCAGGAGTTGCAGAAGGTGGTATTTGTAAGGAGACCAGAGAGAGATTTACCTTTCTCTTCATCTACCTATATTCATGCAAGATAGGAGGTGGGATGAAGTGAGAGAGTGGCATGGACATACATACACTACCAAATATGAAATAGATAGCTAGTGGGAAGCAGCCGCATAGCACAGGGAGATCAGCTTGGTGCTTTGTGACCACCTAGAGGGGTGGGATAGGGAGGGTGGGAGGGAGATGCAAGAGGGAGGGGATATGGGGATATATGTTTATGTATAGCTGATTCACTTTGTTATAAAGCAGAAACTAACACACCATTGTAAAGCAATTATACTCCAATAAAGATGTTAAAAAAAAAAAAGATAGGAGGTAGAGTGGTCATCATAAGCTCTTTGACAAAGGAATTCTAAGACCAACCAACCAACCAACCAGGAACTAAAAGCAACAAAATTCTCCATATAATTCATGGAGGACCCTAATGAAACAATGTTGATGTTGCCAAAATACATTCAACATTAAAGAGTGAAGGCAGATGAGGAGGAGAAGCTATATCCACATGAGAAGGAAAAATCACTAGCACTAACTTGTCATTATATGAGGGGTTGAGTCCCAGTGAAGGGCTCCCTGTGCAGTTATAATCACAAACACGAGGGCAGTGTCACCCAGCTCACTCCGCACATCAACAGCTCTGGGCTCCTGGGGTAGGTTAGACAGAGCAAGGTTTTAGGGAAGGGTGCTAGGTTCTGTTGCTCTATAGCAAAGTACCACCTACTTAGTGGCTAAAACCAACACTCATTCATTATATCACTGTTTCTGGAGCTCAGACATCTGGGCACAGCTTAACTGGGATTTCCTCAGGGTCTCACAAGAGTCAAGCAAAGGTCATAGCTGGACTGCATTCCCATATGGAAGCTTGATTAGGCAAGAGTCCACTTCCAGATCCCTCAGTTATTGGTAGAATCATTTCCTTGTGACTGTCACATTGATCAAAGCCACAACGGGGACAGTCTGCTCATACTGGAACCTCTTCCCTCAGGGAAGACTTAGGATCTCTTTAAAGAACTTAATTCGGTCAGGCCCACTAAGTATAATCTCCCTTTTGACAGCAAACACAATACTACTGATTTTAGACCCCAGTTACATTCACAAAATTCCATCAACCATGCCATACAAGATAATCTAATTATGGTCATTTTCCCTGCTAAGAAGATCTTTAGTTAGCCAGTGACAGTGGTGAAAATCACATTTTCTGCTACCCAAGGGAAAAAAAAAAAGGCACAGGATATGTGATGTAAGAATGTTGTGACTCAGTCCACAGGACAGAAAATTGAGGCAGACAGAAACTTAGAAGTGACCCAGCTGAATTAACTATTGCACTCCCAAAGGAATCACATCAGCAAAGTCAAAGTGTGCCCTGATGTAGGAAGGTACCTGCCAAATGATGTGTCTTAAGGCCAGCAAGCCACAGACACTGTCCCTGCATCAGATGAAAGCATCAGGGAAGGAGTTTTCCTAACTGGTCAAGTCCATGGTGCTGGGAAAACTGGACAGCTACATGTAAAAGAATGAAATTAGAACACTCCCTAACACCATACACAAAAATAAAGTCAAAATGGATTAAAGACCTAAATGTAAGGTCAGACACTATAAAACCCTTAGAGGAAAATATAGGCAGAACAGTCTATGACATAAATCACAGCAAGATCCTTTTTGACCCACCTCCTAGAGAAATGGAAATGAAAACAAAAATAAACAAATGGGACCTAATGAAACTTAAAAGCTTTTGCACAGCGAAGGAAACCATAAACAAGACAAAAAGGCAACCTTCAGAATGGGAGAAAATATTTGCAAATGAAGCAACTGACATAGGATTAATCTCCAAAATTTACAAGCAGCTCATGCAGCTCAATATCAAAAAAACAAACAACCTGATCCAAACATGGGCAGAAGACCTAAATAGACATTTCTCCAAAGAAGATATACAGACTGCCAACAAACACATGAAAGGATGCTCAACATCACTAATCATTAGAGAAATGCAAATCAAAACTACAATAAGATATCATCTCACACCAGTCAGAATGGCCATCATGAAAAACTCTACGAACAAAAATGCTGGAGAGGGTGTGGAGAAAAGGGAACCCTCTTGCACTGTTGGTGGGAATGTAAATTGATACAGCCACTATGGAGAACAGTATGGAGGTTCCTTAAAAAACTAAAAATAGAACTACCATACGACCTAGCAAACCACTACTGGGCATATACCCTGAGAAAACCATAATTCAAAAAGAGTCATGTACCACAATGTTCATTGCAGCTCTATTTACAATAGCCAGGACATGGAAGCAACCTAAGTGTCCGTCGACAGATGAATGGATAAAGAAGATGTGGCACATAGATACAGTGGAATATTACTCAGCCATAAAAGGAAACAAAATTGAGATATTTGTAGTGAGGTGGATGGACATAGAGTCTGTCATACAGAGTGAAGTAAGTCAGAAAGAGAAAAACAAATACCGTATGCTAACATATCTATAGAATCTTAAAAAAAAAATGGTTCTGAAGAACCTAGGGGCAGGACAGGAATAAAGACGCAGACGTAGAGAATGCACTTGAGGACACACGGAGGGGGAAGGGTAAGCTGGGACAAAGTGAGAGAGTGGTATGGACATATATACACTACTGAATGTAAAACAGATAGCTAATGGGAAGGAGCCACATAGCACAGGGAGATCAGCTCCCTGCTTTGTTACCACCTAGAGAGCTGGGATAAGGAGGGTGGGAGGGAGACGCAAGAGGGAGGAGATATGGGGATATATGTATACGTAGAGCTGATTCACTTTCTTATAAAGCAGAAACTAACACACAATATTAAAGCAATTATACTCCAATAAAGATGTTTAAAAAAAAGAATGTATATACATATGTATAACTGAATCACTTTGCTGTACAGCAGAAATTAACAGAACATTGTAAATCAGCTATACTTCATAAAAAACTTTAAAAATTCTTTTGTTCCCTAAAAAACAAAAAAGAACGAAATGAATTTTATACAATTAGAAAAGTAGTAACTGACATTAAAATATTCACATATGAATGGAAACCTTAAATTTCAGCAATCAATCCACTGCAATGTAGAAAGGAAATCTATGGAAGAAATCTACAGTATCAATTTTTGGAAAACATTACATTCAAGTCAGACTAAATTTTAGATAACAGTGTTACATTCTTGGAGGGAAATGAAATATATTTGGAAAGAAAACAAAATTACCCAAAGAAGTCGAATGAGAGCAAATGAATCACCAGTAATCAGAATTCCAAGGTATTTGATTCTGGCAGACAACTGAGAGGCAAGATGGGGACAATTCTGAATAAGAAGAGGAATCTATAAGGAGTCTCTTCTCAGGAGAGGAAAAAGACACCATCACAAAAAGATGAATGTCAGATATAAGCAATGGAATTGGAATAGACTTACTGTACTAGGACTAGTCTGTACTTTTCCTGCTTAGTGGAAAACCTAGGAACATTGTCATTCTTCTGGAATAGGTGGAGATGTCAGCAGAGGCTGGGGTACTGTGACATCCTATAGAATTTTTGTTTAACACAATACAGCAGTGAGATATTTTACTTTAAAGGAGACATTACGTCTAAAATTTAAGATTTACAGGAAACAAGCAAGGCAAATCTCCCTACCTTTCTCGGCACACCTAAAGCCTTCTCTCCTGATGTGGCTATTCTCAGGCTAACTCAGAGCCACTATCCACTCCACCCTGTGGCCAGTGGCTGACGACGATCCATCCTGGGTCCTATGAGAATGAGTTTTCTGTAGGAACAGATAGATACATTCAATGACAGGTCCCTGATCTGCTATTAAGGACAATCTTCTACCTCTACAACCATCTTCTCCCTTCGAATGTAGTTTATGGGAGAGTAGATCTTTGCTGGGATGTCTTAGTCAAATGGACATCTCTTAGAAAACCCACCAGCAGAAATGTTCAAGACACACTCCTCTACTTTTGCTCCACCATTGCTATAAGGGATCACACATATTGCCTGGTCAGTAAGGAGGACATTGGACGAGAGAGGTGAGACCATTAAAGGAATAAAATCTTCATAATGGAGGTCAACAATTAGACGAAGAAAATTCAGATCTTAAGAAAGAAACAGAGAAAATTAAAAGAAATATTTCAAGAATACTCTGAAAAATAAAGGGCATGAGTATTCAACACCAAGGGAAAAAAAATACTTCAAATTTGTGTTGCTGTGAAATTTTAGAATACCAAGAATAAGAGAAAAGTTAATGCCAAAATAAGGGAAAAGACTACATGAAACATACTTTCAATCTTCAGACAATGGCATAGAAAGATGGCTAGGACCATGCCAAAAAGACTCTAAGGCTATATCCTCCTATAACATAGGAGGATAAAATAGCCTCCTATAAAATAACCCCCTGAGATTTTTACCCTCTAAAGAACATTGTTGAGCATGTAAAGAACATATCCACTGAGATGCTGGCAATGGTAAATGATTCTTTACCCAAAGCAGTAACAAGGAAAATGGACTTTTGAAATGCCTTTCTCCACCAAGGTTTCCTGAGACAGGTCTGAAGTTCTTCCCTCAAGAGAGGGAAGCCTTGAACGGAATGTGTGGAGAGCAGCACTTCTGTAACATTTTAGGTTGTCACTGCCCTGAATGACTGAAGAAACAGAGGTAATTCTCTCTAGAGACAGAATGTTTCCATTTTCACTCATCCCCCTGTTCTCCAAAGAGGCCCTTAGAGGGTGGTTCAGGACCCTCTGGCATTTCTGCCCAGTGTCCCCTCCAGGACACTAGGCAGGTGACAAGCACCTATGGACCTTGCTATTCTTGGCAGCTCATCTGTACATTCTGAGGTTATGACAGAAGACTTCATGAGGAGGAGCAAGGTGCAAGTGAGGAGACCCATGTAAATTATGCTGTAGGAAATATGTATGTGGATAAGCATCTCCAAGCTAATTGAGAATGTTAGTATCTTATATACTCAGACAATATAAAGGAGAAATCAGGGCCAATTTATCAAATATAGAAGGAAAGGTATACTTCAGGATCAATGGCTAGACTATTTTAAGAACTAAAAAATAAAATATGCAGTGTTGAGTTCCTGACCTAATCACTCCCAAGACATGGCTCACCCTGAGAGGATCAGGAAACCTGAAACATCTCAGTCTCTCACCTAAGGAAAGCCATTACTCAAAGAGAAGCCCAGGATAAGGCTTTTGGGTAGAGTAACTTCATGATGCAGCCCATTTACTTCTAGAAAAAAATCAGCTCAGTGGGACACTGCCTAATCAGGAAAGATGAGAAGTGGCGAGTAGTATCTACCCTGAGTTCTTCCTGGAGGCTATGAGCCTACAGAACTGTCTAAGTATCACAAGAAGAACATCTGTAGAGAATATTCCTGCTTTACACTCTCATTTCTCATTTATGCCTTCATACCAACAAGGAAAAACCAAGGCTCATTCCATTAAGAGGACACACATACGATAATACCTCCAGGCAATCAATAGCAGCTCAACTTAAGACCATCAGGGTAGAAGGGAAGATGCTTTGTCAGAGGTGGGATCTACCAGTGGGCCAGCCCTACACACAGCATGGGCATCCTGGGCCCTGAAGCCCAGCCCTTCACCACCACCCTTCAAAAGGGAGCCCATGGCACAGACGGCTGAACACCTGTGACCTAAGAACCATGAGTGTGGGTTTCTGGGGGAGAAGATCTAGATGACTCAGGCCCATAATAAATACTTCCTGTGTAATAGACATTGAGAATTTAATGGAATTTAGGTTCTTGTCTCTAAAAAACATAAGTGGATCATGTTTGAGAGAAGTAGATAGTTCTTAGAAGCTCAAGGAAGAGGAACCATTTCCAAAACTTAAAAGGTAATTTTAGATCATATTCTCCTCTAAACGACAAGAATATAGTAAAGTGTGAACTATTAGAAATTCAGTAATTGACATGTTAAGGCATTCACACAGGAATGGAAACCCAAAACCTCAGCATCCATTTCACTCTGATGTAAGAAACAAATGTAATGAATTTCTCAATAAAACTATTGTGGGAGAAATCTACAATAGCTAAGTCAGATTGAATTTTAGGTAATACATCAGTGTTCTATTCCTGAATGGGAAAAAATATTTGGAAAGAAAGCAGATTAACCCCCAGTTATTGGAATCCTAACTTGACTCTGGCAGATTACAGAGGTAGAAATAGGATTGAGGCTAAAGGGATTAGAGGTCTATAAGGACTATCTTTTCAGGAGAGGGAAAAAGACACCATCACAAGAAAATGGATGTCAAACCTCAGCTACGGAATCAGAATAGCCTTGCAGCAGTAGGGCTGATCTGTACCCTTCCTCTCTAAAGGAAAACCCAGGAGCATGGCATTCTTTTGGAATTGGTGGGCATTTCTAGCAGAGATTGGATTCCCATATGACACATCCTCTAGACTCCATTTTTTTTTTTTAGCACAGCACAGCAGTGAGATGCTATTTTAGTGAAAAGGAGGCACTGTGACTAAAAGTCGAGAATCACAGGAAATAGAACAGGACAAACCAAGGTATAGTAATACTCTTCCCTGACCATGACCCTCTCTTTAGATCTGAATCTGGATCAGGCATCACAGGGAAGCTTAGAGAAAAGGTGGCCCGCACAGAAAGCCACTGGGGAATAAGCCAACACAGTCCACTCATTCTTTCTTGCAGACATGTCATTTTTTTTTTTCTTAAAGGTGTCACTCTAGGCTAGTGTGCTGCGATTTCAGTTAAGGAGTATGTCTCTTTCTCACAACAATCACCCACTGAAGTAGAAATGAAAGTAGAAGAAGGAAATAGGTCTCCCCCCAAACTCTGCTCTCTGCAAAGAGATAACTTCCTCTCTCCTACTCTACATTAGCTTCATTCAAATTGGGTGGTGGAAGTGGTGGTCCACAATCACAAATGGTCTCTCCAAAGAATAATCTCAGGAACATACAGCAATTCATGGGCATCAATTTAGACTACACACATAAAAATTCCCATATACTATTTGTGGGGGAGATCCTCATGAGATGGCAGTAACAATGCCAAGGTCATACCAATAACAGCACAGGTAAGGTGTAACCAGGTGTGAGGGAACAGCAATGTCAAAGTGGACAGTAAAACATATGATGTATCCCTAGTTCTAATGTCTTGCTGTACAAGTGCTCAGGTCAACGTGCAGTCTTCAACCATCTATGATGAGAAGGAGAGGATAAGAAAACTTTGAAATCACATTGGAGTGTAATTCTCTGAAAATATTTGCAATGGAAACTAACCACATGTGTAATTTCTCAAAATAGAGGGTCACCTCTACCTGATGACCCATATCAGGTAATGCACAATTAAGTACTGGGAACCCACCTGTGGACCCATGAGATTATCCAGGACCAGCTGCTATCATCTTACTTTCCTAAGCCAAGGGAGAATTAACTTTCCATCCTGAGTGTTTCAAAATAAAGGTGACTAGTCTCAGTAGAATCAAGGAACAAGATTCTGAAGGTCAGATGTCACTACTGTTTACATACGAGAACCCCAGAGTAGGCAGAACTTACTTATGAAACCAAGTTGAATAAACCAGCTTTATATCAAGTGACCCCAGGGATACATAGGCCCCTGTAAGAGAAGTTTGGGAATACAGGCTCCTCTCTGTGGACCTTTCATCAGTCCAGATGCCTTCACAGTCTTCTCCTGGATCAGGCATCACAGGGCATATTAACTAAAGGGGGCCAAAGCAGAAATCCAACTGGGAAACAAGACACCACAGATCTGTCATTAGATTTAAGGTGGAGGCACACATCCCTCATTTCTACTTCAGTGGAGGATTGTTGCTCTTATGGAGAGGACGAAATCGGTCTCTTCACAAACACGCTCTTCTACAAAAAGAATTTATCCTCTCCTCATCTACATTATATTTTTGCAAAATGGTGAGAGAAGGAACGTCATCATGAGCTATCTCTGGCCAAGGAAGAATTACAAGAACAAACTACCAACCAGAATCTAAAAGTGTAAATATCTTCATATGCTGTTTCATGGAGGACCCTAATGAGACAATGGTGATGTCTCCAAGAAACCTTCAACAACAAAGAGCAGGTAGGGAGAAAACAGTTAAGAGCAGCTACATTAAAATGACAAAGAAAAAGATGATTTATCAGTCGTGCTAACTTGCCATTGTATAGGTGGTTGAGGTCCCGATGACCTGTCCAACAATCTAAGTTGGCAGAGAAAAAGAAAGCTCTTAAGTCTCAGGAGAGGTTATACATTAAGAAAGGCTAGAGCAGAATATAACACCCTTCTGGGTTGTCTACTTAATTAACTGGTGCCCAACAGCCAGTGGCACATGCCAGCAAATGCACAGAGCTTAAATTATCACCCTACCTATGGGCCATGGTATTAAACAAAACCGAATGGCGTCATCTTACTGCTCAGAACAGACCCATGTCTACCAAGCAGTCTCCAGATGCTTGGTGACTAGAGGATGCAATGAAGAAAAGCTCAGTTCTCTCAGAAGCCAGCAGGGATTTTCCCACAATGAATTCCTCCCTGATTGAGATGAGACTGTTTGAGAAGAACAATCCTGAAAATTCCTGTCTAACATTTTCCATCTTTGGGTGACACACAATCTGTTGGATGTCCTCTAAGCCTAGGTTTTCCCCAAAATAACTTACAGACCCCCTTTTAATCAGGTACTTAACAGTCACAGGAATATGAGCATTTCAGAAACCCTCCTGGGGCTGTGGGTTAGTGATAATGTTTGGGGTAGGTGACTGGGAAT